CTGCTGCACAATCCAGAGCTCAGGCAGCTGGTCATGCAGGGCGAGCAGATGCATTCAGCCACTGAATGTCCGTTTTTATGCTGCATCTGCGGCAAACCTTTGGTTTCCATGCTGGACAGAAGGCCCAAGACTTTCTCCTCTTCTTTGTTGCTTTCTTCCCTCGTTCTCACTCCCAGCTGTTCAAAGCTGTATTGCCCCATTCTCCCATTTGTGCTGGTAATTGTCTGGTTGAAAAATAAATGTAGTTCAGCTTGGGATTGTAAAATACATGCATTATTTAAACAGACCTGTTGTTTTCTTTTGGTGAGTTGAACTGATTTACTGTCTGAAGAGATGAGTGACAGGGCCAATCCTCAGCTGGTAGAACGGTGGAAAAAAAAGATGGGAAGGAGAGGGTGCTCCCTCTTTTGGCAGTGGCAGGTTTTCCACTTGACTCCAACTGTCTTCCAAGTTTCTACTTAGTGTATAATCTAATGCTATCTGACCGGCATCTTTAATTGTTGTAAACTGGAGCATCCATAGCAGAAGAGGTTTGGAGCTTCTACTAGCTTTATCTGAGAATGTTTCCTGGTTGGTAGTAAGCTCTAAAATGTGGGAAGGAGCAATCTAATCACAGAATCATCAAATAATGTAGTTTGAAGGGGACCTCTGAAGGTCATTTGGTCTGATGTCCTACTCAAAGCAGGACCAGTTAGAGCAGGTTGCCCAGGGCCTTATCCAGTTGAGTCCGTAATATATCCAAGGACAGAGATTGTACAACCTCTCTGAGCCCCTGTACCAGTGTGTGACTGTCAACAATATGCATCCTGGCTTGGGCTGCTCTTATTTGATATTTCATGCTGGTAAAATGCAACTGCAAGATTTTATGTGCTGCAATGCCTGTCTTTGGACAGTTGTGTTATTTTTATTTTGCTCTAAGCTAAGTGAGATTGGCTGACACGTATTCCTGTTGTTGGAATTTAGAGCTAGACAGCAGAGATGAGAAACAACTTCTAGAGCTTGCCTTAGAAGAGAAGGAAACCCTGGATAAAAAAATCAACATGTTGTGCAGAAAGGTGAGCCTGAGGTAAAATTATACAGCTTTGTAAATAAAGATGTCAGAAAAATGTTCCTTTGTGATCTTACCAATAGACTCTGACACTTGCGTTTAATGAAACAGAAGTCTGGCTTCTGTATTCTCTCTGAAAAGAAGTGGCAACATTAATTATTAGTAAACTTCTTACTGACAATTGTGTGTTACAAGCTTATTATTTTAGTCATTTTTGCTTGCTTGCTTGTCCGTCTGGAGATGTTGAAGGGTATTAAAAAAATGGTGAGTCTGTGCTATTGAGACCTGATGTGACATCCTAGTAACTGTTTGTGGCAGCAGAGCATGCATTCTTGAAAGATTTCTGATTGGAAGTTGCAGTCTTTCAGTTTCTCTTCGGCTGACAGCACCCCGTGAGTGGGGAAATTAATTAGAAGCAGAGAAGCTGAAACAATTCAATTGAGAGCTTTATGTTTGGGCTCATTTCTGTGTTCAGACTGGCATATTATGAAATGGGACTTGCTGAAAAATAAGATTAATGTGAAGATTGGCTGGGTTATAGCTAATAACTTTGTGTTCAAAGGTAGCTGGGGTTGGAGTGGATGACCTGGCTCCTGACCCTGTGGGATCAAATCTTCAGCTAGCTCACCTGTGGATGCAGTAGCATATCCTGTTTCCACTGCAACTGCACTGAGTTGTAACAGCTATTGAACAGTTGTTAGTTCTACTTACTAGTTTGCCAAAAGAAATCAGTGGTTGCGTGCACTCAAGCTGTGGCAACTGTGAAGGCTGGCTGTAAATTTGATTAAGGGGAGATAAAAAGTCAAGAAGGAGATAATGACATTCTTTTTTTTTTTTTTTCAGCTTTTCCAGCTTTTAGTGCCAACGGGAAAATATGATAGAAGTAATGTCGTATTAGAAGTGACAGCTGGCAGAACAACTGGAGGTCAGCAAAGTCCCCACAGTAAAGATTACTTCAAACCTCCATCCAACTTTATTAAACCTCTTATGGGTTATTCCTAATGCCTTTTTATACTTTAATGGTATAAAGTAATACTTTCTAAAGAAGAGTATCAGTCTGTCTAATGACTGTGGTTAGAGTTGCGGCTAAATCTAAAAACTGGTGGCTGCCATTTTGTGAACTGCTCTTTATGTTGTTGTGCCTTTATATTTTTAGGAGACATCTGCCAACAGTTCACTAAAGAAATGTTTGAGATGTATGAGAACTATGCCGACTATAAATGTTGGAACTTTGACATTGTGAACTATACGCCAGCTGAGATAGGTACAGTAGTTCTTCAAACATTCCACCAAGACAATGAAATGAAAATCTGTGTTTCTGTGCTATATTTGTTACACATTATTTGTCTTTCTAGGTGGGTTGCATCATGCTGCTGCTCATATTTCAGGAGATGATGTCTACAGGCATCTGAAATATGAAGGAGGGACTCATCGAGTGCAGCGAATCCCTGAGACGGGCCTATCATCAAGAATGCAGCGTATTCACACTGGGACAATGTCAGTTATTGTCCTCCCTCAGCCAGAGGAGGTAAACTAACAGTTAATCAGGGTGGTAAGGCAGTGTATCCCCGTACATCCATTTTGGCATTGGAGTAGGTGTTATTTAAAAACATCTTATTGTTTGGGGAATTTATTGATGCCCAAGTGCTTTGTGCAAGGCTCGACAAGTAAACCACAAGTTCTCTGACTCTGGAAGGTGGTAGTCCTTGGCTCTGTACCTGGGTCATCAGCAGCAACTTTTTAGAGATTTACTATTGCCTGAAATGACATGTAAATCAATGATCGTTTCAATGAGTATTCCAGCCCCAACACTCACAAAGCTGACTGCTATGAGTATGCCAATTTTAAATTATGTCATGTACTAAGACAGGGAATATATCCAAGAAAATATTCAGTGTTGCATAGTAATGTGATTCTGCAGGTCCTTTTGGTTTCATTTAAATTACTGGTGTCCTTCTCTGTTAAATCAAGGACAGTCTGTTTTGAATTTGAATGAGTGAGTGTGTTGGCTAGTCTTTCTGAGATCTCACTGATACCAATAGTCTTGGTTAAACCAGCAATTTGCACACAAAATAAAGAAAAACAGATCTGTAGGCTTTCCCTGCAAGTTCTCCTGCTTCCTTGTAAAGTTTTCCTTGCAATGCTTTCCTTGCAACATTGGCCAGATCTGAATGTTTCTTTCCCATCCACTGAGCTCAAACTATGGTCCAGGTCATCATGGACTCATATTTCCAATGCTGCAATCCTTACTTGGATCTTAATACACCCAATTTTTCCTCAGTTAAATGTTTTTAAGCACTGCTGCAAGAATCATTCAGGCTTGACTCAGGAACAAGATCTGCTGTTTAGAAGTAGTTTTTGATTATTTGCTTATTTCTTAGTCTCCCTGACAAAGCTGGTGGTTTTACAAAAAGTTGTTCATTTTGTTTTGTTTCACACACGCACACTTTGTTTTGTGAAGGACCTGAAGTGAGAGTTTGAAAAAATAAGTGAAATATTTAAAGCATCACTTGCTTTGCAGAGATATTTGACATTGCATTTTTTTTAGAGTATAATAATTATAGCTGTTACTCGGGAACAGTTGTAAAGGAGCAATTTTTTGAGTAGTGATTTTTTTTTACACCGAGTGTCACTGACATTCAAAATATTTTTAGAATGAGCAGAAAGTAGTAATTTTCTTTGATTCTAGGTTGATGTTAAAGTGGATCCCAAAGATTTGCGTATAGATACATTCAGGGCCAAAGGAGCAGGAGGGCAACATGTTAACAAAACTGATAGCGCTGTGAGAATTGTACACCTTCCCACAGGTAAGTCCGGCTGTATTTTATACTCCTAACCACCCTAAATCTGTATCCTATACAGAAAGCTTGTGATTCTCTAAGTTGTCTCAGAGTGAGTTTGCAGGGTTGGGCCTTATACCAAAAAAAGGAAGCAGCCCCTTCAGGTTCTGTCCCTCTGCTAGCAAGGCAACATGTGAGAAAAGGGATATGTACCAGTGGCACAATAGTCAGCATGTTGCTATTCTGCCAGTTCTGTCTTCAGAGGGATTGTTTAATGAATACCTTGTCTTTGATGGATGAAAGAACAAACGGAGAGTGACAGGGATGGAAGATGTAAATAATTTGTGCTGTGTGCTCTGTGCCTTCGGGAATAATGACCATAGGCAAACAAGGGTGTGCTTGGCCTAGCTGGACCTGTGTAGTCACAAGACTGAGAAAAAAGGAGACTTGAAGATTTTAATTCAGTACTAGATAATGCTAGCATATGTTGAATAGGAAGGAAGATGTATATTGATGGGAAGGTAGTGTATATACTGGACCACTCTGTCTTTCTCAGGATTTATTTTTATTGAAATTCAGTGGACTTCTATCTGTCCAGATGCAGAATCTCTTCAGGCAAAGGAAATTCCAGTAGTGACCTGAAAACAGCTGTTTCCTATATGCCTTTTTATTTGAGAAATCAAATAAGATGTAAAAAGAAGTACTAGATTTCTTTTAAAGACCTTTATTTTACTTTATTATTCATAATTAAATTCAAGACTCTCCAGTATTGTTTAGACACCTTTCTCTGCTAGAATAATTAATTTTCCAGTCTCCAAGAGGTTATCTAGACTAAGACTTTAAGAACTCGTGTTACACTGTTTTAAACATGCTTCTGTGGACTGCACCAATTATATTTTTAACGTGTGATAGCTAATTGGAGTGGACCTGTTTTCTGGAGGCAATGTCAGAAACTCGATTGCTTCATGAAATTTTAAAATATCTGTGACTTTTCTGTAGCACTGAACAAAGGCCCTGGTGCAGCTGTGAAGAGTAAAAACAATACTAATGGTTCTGAATGAGTGTGTTAAAATTACTTCTCATCCTGCAGCTGGAAGGCCCTACAAACCAGCACTCTAGAAGGTTTCATTTGCCTAATGTATTAGAATTAGTTTAGCTTGTTTGTTCTTTGTTATAATGGGCTTTTGATCTGAGCTCTCTTGAATCCTTCTGTAAAGGACTAGCGGTTGAGTGCCAGCAGGAGCGATCACAGCAGATGAACAAGGAAATAGCTCTGCGGACACTGAGAGCTAAGCTGTACCAGCAGATCATTGAAAAACAGCTAAGTCAAGAGCAGAGTGCCAGAAAACTGCAGGTGAGAGCATGTGATTGCTGAAGTTTGCAGAGGGTGCTATGTTGTGGATTTGTTTCTGCTCTTTTTGAGTGACAGTGACAGAGCAAGTGTGTGTGTGTGTCTAACCAGGTGTGCTTACAAAGGACAATCTTGTATTTTTAAATGGTAAGTCTGTTTTTCACTTATCCCAGTTCGACACTCCTGTAGACTTCTTGGGCAATGAAAAAGAGACATCAACTGTAGCTGGAAATAAAAGAGTCAAGACACTAGCAGGAATTATCCAAAAAAGCAACACTCAACATCAACAATCCCCCTATTGTGGCCAGTTTTGCAAATAGAGCATCAGTAAAGAGTTATTTTCCATAAAAACTAGGATCAGAAGTTCTCAAAGTAGTATTTTAACCTGTTTCTCTAAGCAGTTTTTAGCGTTTAATTCTCTGTTCCATAAAGTGTTTAACCACACAACAATGCTACATTGGATTTCTGTTTTAAAACTTTTGGAATTGCTTGCATTCTTGCACTTTACCACTAGAGGACTACTCTTCATATTCTTAATTTACTTCTCTTTCAGTGGCAGTTTCTGACAGCCAAACATTAGTGAAACTGCTTTGCCACATGTTGACTGTGCTGCTTCTGTTATTCATGGTGCCTACTTCCTTTGTTTTTTGGTTTTTTTGGTTTTTGTTTTTTTTTTTTTTGAGGGAGCTACAAAGCCCACAAAAAGAGAAACACTCTTAACATTTTTTGAAGTAAGGACTCGTATAGACACATCTCTTGCCTTACATGACTTTTGAGAGTTATGTAATTCTTCCAGCTACAGAGATGTAACAGAAGTGGACTGGAGAATGTAAAAACTTGATCTGCAATACAGAATTTCAAATTATACCATTTAGTAGTGCCACAATATTAAAAAAAAAAATGCTAAGTCAGGGACCATTAGGTTTATAGGTGAAACAGGTTGATCAATTAAAGTTTATTCTGGTTTAGAGTAGTAGTTGATTTTTTTTTTTAACCACAATATAGTAGAATTTGGGTTTTGCTGCTTTACTACAGTTGGGAACAAGAGCCCAGTCAGAGAGAATTCGTACTTACAACTTCACCCAGGACAGAGTCACCGACCACAGGATCTCGTATGATGCACGCAATATCAAGGTAACAGTCGCTTGTGAGAGTTTTAAAACTTAAGATATTTATGTGTCCCATAAGAAGAAAAGTCAGACTTTGTGAAAACAATTTAATATCTATGAGGAAATCAGACAGACAGTTTTGCTCGCACAGAACATTGTACCTTTAGAAAGCTTCAACTTTCTTTCCTGCCTACTTGTAAAGATGAGTGGCACAGGATATAACCCACTGGCCTACTTCACTGTCTATTTTTCTCCTATTATATAAGTGAAAAATGATCAAGCATGTAGTCCTCAGTGAACTCTGTGAGTCCCTCGGCCAAACTTGGCAAGTGACATTTGAGATTCTTGAAGCTTAGTACATCCAAAAGGAAAACCTGACATGAAGGACTTTTTTTTTTTTTTTTTTTTGTTAAGCCAGTCTTTCCTCCTCCTTCTAATGCCAGAGTGAAGAAAGAGAAAAAATTTGTGTTTGCATTGCAAGCCACCAAATGCTTTAATTTTAAGATTATTTCTGACAAAATCTCTACATATGGCTTGAATATTTTTTTTTACAGGGAAACAAATACCTAAAAATGCATTTTTGTGTAATAAATTTATGGAACTGAATATTAGGACAAAGTTTAGGGTGACCCTTCAGTATTTTGGCATAGGTACCCAGTTTACTGTAAGTGCTGTTGCATAGGAAGCAACACTTTTTGAACAGTACCCACAGATGTCCTTGGTAACTTCTAAGAACACACGGCATGCTGACTATGGAATGGCACATTTTTAATGGAGTGGGGAATAAGTACACAAACACCATGGTGAAGGAGAATGGGAAGAAGTTCCACAACTGTATAAAAATTACTTTTGTTAGTCAAGCTTGTCAGTTACTTAGTGTTTGTTAGTTAAGCTTTGCACTTAGCATTAGGAGCTTGTTACTTTTCTTGGGTGAAACTGAAACCATAAGCTGCCTAAGGAAAGTTAGTTAAGCTTTGCTGGCAAAACAAACTAGTTCTTGGCATGAACAACAGTATTTGAATTAGGTTCTTCAATCCTTGATGGATCTTGCTAGGGGATTTTCATGTAAACACATGGGTTATAAGAAAGCATGGCAGGAGGGCACCAGCAGCTCCTTTCACTGCTGCCAGAATTAATGTGCTTTTCATAGGCAGACAGCAGAAGTCCTGTGGCAGTGCACCACACCACATTGCTTTCACACAGGAGTGCTGCAAAGACGAGCAAGTGGATGCACTAAGAGTCCAGGCAAAGTGCGTTCCAGGAGCTCCTCATCTGAGTAGTCAGCATTTCAGAGTAATACTAATGTCCAGTCAGTAATGCTTTTGTCTATTGTTATTTTTTTTCCACAGGAAATTCTAAGTGGGAAAGAAGCACTGGATAAGCTAATCAACAGACTACTGGAGTTTGCAGAGATAGAGGCTGTCACCGAATATCTGGAAAATTTGCAGGCTTTAGAAGGAGGAGGCTCCTGAAGACTTCATGTATGGTTAAAGCAGAAATGTGTTTGGTAGAAAAATAAAACAGATGCATTTGTTAGATGACAGATTGATTAAAATCTATGCCTCTTGTTTTTCAGTGTGTGATACCAGTCTTTTTTATATTTTGATGTATATTTTTGAATTTATTACAGCAACCCTAGCAGAAAAGAACAAGCTTGGAGTATTGTGTGCACATACCTTCTGTCTTGGCAGCGTGGCTTTGTTAAGCTCGTCCTTCTCTTGGCCGCGTTGGAGCTGGAAAGATACAGAACTGTGGTGATGGAGCAGAAGGAAATAACACATAGTGCATGCTTTGTTTTGGAAGGGGGAGAGGTTCCTCTCCAGGTGAAAGAACCTAAGCTCCCCTAATATAGTCTGGCCTCATGAATAATACATATTTTTGGGTGAGCTTCCTAAATGTAGCCCCTTAAAAATAACACTGTATTGTGATCCTTTATTTTTCAGACTGAATATAGAAAAGCAAAGGGAGTGATGTCAGGCAAGGGGCCAGAATCTTAAAGAGAGAAACCTGTCAACTTTCTTACCGCCATTCTTGGTTTAGCTTAGGGTGGATCTGGACCACAAGCTGCCGTGGAGTGTAAAAGTATGTGTTCTGATTTCACTTTATGTTGGTGAGATTCCAGAAGGAGTTTAGCAGTGATAACAGGCAGCTCCCTGCTTCTTGGCAGAGAAAAGGAGTTCATAGTGTAGATGTATTTTAGCAAATAGAGAAGCTCTGGAATTCAGTTTCTGCCTTGATGTCTTTGGGAGTGTGTGCCTGTCTCTGAGGGCGATCCAGATATATATAGAGCACACTCAGCTGTAATAGGACTTGTGTTCGTGTTTTCACCTAAGTGCATGTTGTGCAGTATGCTGACGGGCACACATGCATAGGCAGTCAGTTGTTGTACGCAGTGATTCAGGAACACTCGTGTTTAACGTCACACAAAAATATTCAAGTGCTCTGCTGAACTGGGTTGACTTGCTAGATCATGGTGGTCTCTTCTTACCCTGCTCTTCTCAGGTTATGCTGTGAAGCTGTTCTGCACAATTTTGTGCACGTGAAAAATCAATTAATTGCTACAATTTAAATTACGCCTTGTGGTTTATTTAGATTTGCACATTTTTTTTTTAATCATGATTGATACAGGACTGAGCAAATGTCAGTTATTTTAAGAAAATAAATTATTTCAATACTTAATCTTCTAAATGGTATAGTTATTATGTCTATATGTAACAAACAACAGTTTTAACTTTATTCAGCTATATTAAAAAAGAGAAAGTTTTTATGAGGAAGAAAGAAGGAAAACTGTACTCAGTTTCTCCATTCTGGAATTATTTTTCAATTCTTTTGTGTGTTTGCACATTCTTCCAGCAAGGTTTGTCTGACAGTTTTTAACTTGCTTCCAACACTTTAATTGCAAAAGCCTTCAGTTTTTGGTTGTATTTTTTTATTATTATTTATAGCTCTGTAAGTCAATCAGGAAACATATTACCATGCAGTTTAAGAGTTATCTGCACACTTGAACTTTGACTTCTGGGAGCAAGCAGTTAGAAGATAAGGCCTCCAGGAAGATACGCAACTCAGCTTATACTTACGCAGCACTAACCGACTGGCGATAACTAATATGATCAGCTGTAACAGGAGAGTATCCAGTTAACGTGCTGATCTAATTACCATGCTCACTTCTGTGATGCAAACCAATTTATTTTATTAATTATATATCTTGAACAAGCTTAGAAACTTCTTACAAACTACACAATTGAAATAATCAGATGGTACTTCCAGGCTTAGTGCCTAGGAAGTTCATTACTATGAAAAACTATTGAAACACTTTAAAAAAATGAGCCTCACTTATGTTACTGGAAGAAAGATGGTCATGTTTTGATTGCAGGACCTTGGGATTATTTGCAACAAAGTTAATTAATATCCTGTAGCCCTTCTTTGTTGGTGATGGTTTTATGTAGAGTGATGTGAAAGGGGAAAGCAGAAGGCAGCTCTCTCTACTACTAAATTTTGGATATCCCCAATGTAGGCATTGAAATTTGGCAGCTGAATCCCTTCTCCCAGCCGGGTCCAGCGCATTCTGAAGCATCCTTGTCTTATAAAGCTTATCCTGGAATTGCTCATACCTGTCTATGAGACAGCAAAACACTGCTGTGTTCAGCTGTGACAGAGGCTTTGATACAGAGCAGACCCGCTTCTGCAGGGGGTCATTGCCTGCAATCCTGTTTTATAAAACCAGATATATTTGCTTCTCCTCATTGAGAAAGCATTATTTGAAGCAATGCTTTCTCCTAATTTAGCAAACATTATTTGAAGCCAAATTTTATTCCAAGTTCTTCCACCCCCCCCTTTCTGTGGGATGTAAGAGCTGACTGTGATGGGGTTTGGATGTGGGCTGGCATTTGCCCTCGAGGGAGGGATGCGGGGTACCACGATGCCATATCTGAGGCATTTTCAGGATGGATTACTCTAAACTTGGGGTTTTCCGGTTCTTACAAGCAACCCTGGCTTTCAGCAGTGAAACCACTAGCAGGAATAATTACAATAACAATGCACAGGGAGGAAAAGGAAAGGGAAGGCAGCTCCTTGGAAGGAGGTGAACAGCCCCTGGGGACAGCACAATTCCTTGTGGGAGAGCAAGAGCAGGTTCATCTGGTAGGCACAGCTTTCTCCTGCAGCTTCATATTTCGTTGTCAGCAAAGGGACCAACTTCATCTCTCTTCAGCTCCTGTTGGTTAACATGAAACGTAGTTCCTGATCTCTTTCATTTCCCTGCAGAGGTCGCAAGTGGCAGCATCTCACCCAGCAAAGGGCACCAGACAAAAGTGGAGCCTGGAAGTAGCCCTTTTTATGACAGATTATCTTCTGCATAAGAACAGCCCTGATACTTTATCTTGATTACTTCCATGTAACCATGAAGAGAATGCACAAGGGAATGTCTTAGAAATCCTGGAACTACAAATTAATTTATTCTCTTGAAGTAGCAAACTGCTTGTTCTCATTTATCTAAAATGAAGAAATAAACAAACGCTGTTAGTAACGAAACGTATTTCCCAGTCTGTCAGAACTGTTTGCCCAGATCATACCTTATTTTTTTCTAGCTGCTTAGTACAGCTGAATAGTTTTTTTCACTTTCAGTGGAAAAAGTTGACAAAAGATCACAATGACGAAAAGATTTTTTCAGTAAAAGAAGTGTTATGAAATAATTTACGTGCATTCCCCACCTTTTAAAAGTATCTTTAACTCTCAGGGCATTGCTCATTATTTTTAAGACCAGCAACTATGAAGACTACTGAATTCTGAAGATTACTAAATAGTAACTGCAACAAACCTTACCTGAACTCAACATGTTAAGAATTGCTTAATGCAGTACTGGGAGGCACCCTGACACTATGCTGGTGACCACAAAATAAAAATATTTATTTTAAGAAGTACCTATTTACATACCTATATCAGTTTATATTTACCCTGGGCCCCATTTTTAACAGAACATGCACCCATAAATCAGGTTGTCCCAAAACCCTTGCACATACTGAACAACGGTAATATAGATTGTTCAAATTAAAGCTTTATTTGGTATTTTCATATAAACTCCAAGAGCTTGCAATATTTTGTAATTGTAACTGAGAAGTTGTTAAAGAGAAAACAGCTGTTTAACTTTGCAGACAACACTTATAAACCAGAACAAGTGCTTTTCAACCACCCACTGTTCTTCACTGTATCTTCAGTTAAGCAAGCCATTAAAATCCACTGTCTTCAGTGCATGGTCCGTATAATGCTGTCTGCTGGTTTTTAACTTGAGCTATTTCTGCTTTTACAGGTAGAATCAAATCTGCCTTTGCTGACATTCTCTGGGAATCCTCTTGGGCAACTTTAGTTTTTTTCAGTTTACTATTTGCAACACTTTTTGCTTTGTACAGAAACTTCTATTCAAGCTATATCCCAAAACATTTCACAAAGCTAAATCAGTTAATCACACAAACAGTTAACATGATTTCTATGTTAAATAAGTTAGCAGGTAGAAGGTAAGAGGACTTAAGAGGTAGATACAAGAGATAATGAAAATATATGGTTGACAAAACAGAACCAAAGGGTTGCCGCAGCAGATAGCAGAAGGTATACAGACAGCTTTTGTACCAGCAAGTGAGAGGAGTTCAGGGCTGCAAACCATGTAGGAGGAATGCAATGAAATCTGTCTCAGGAAAGCAAATTATCTTGAAAATGAAAAGAGCACATGTAGTTGGTCTTGAAATAGCTTGTGTGTTGTTTGACAATCAGTAAGGTTGTACTCCTTCAGGGCATGACACAAACAGACAGCAAAAGCGCTCGGCATAAGCTGGGATCCGGAAACAGAGGGGCCTACATAAGACAATGTGAAGCCTTCTGAAGATCTCAGTGGAGTAGGGGATGAGGTCCAGGTGGACGCTAGAAAGGCAGCACAGTGGTGACAGGTAGATTTGCATATACAGGAATACTGGAGGAAGACGGTTTGAGGAAGACACCTGTAATAAGAAAAGTACTAAAAAGGGGAGACACAACTCAAAAAGCAAATCAAGGAAACCACACAGCATGAAATAGTTTGTTACTCCCTGAGATGCCAGCACTGAAATTACATATTTTCCAGGGAGATGGGGCATGGGGAGAGAAATGTTTTTATATATGCACAGGTTAGTGAATTCAACTCAAATTCATATCACGACCAGCCCTCCCACCTTCTAAACCTGAATATTGGGACTGGGTGATGCCGCAGCACAGATTTCGTCTGTGAGGGTCAAACAAAAACCAAACTTTACCTTATTGGGAAAGTCTGGATTTCAATCTACGTGAAGGGTTAAAATTTGGCTTAGCCTGAATAGCAACAAGGATTATTCTATAACCTGGGTCAAATTGAGCAGGTCTCTGCACAGCTCCTGGCATAACAAATGCCCAACAAAATATTTATTTTTTTTTTAGTATGTGCAATATGTTTGCTTCTAAAAGCACCACCAACTTCAGACAGGCCCTACTGAAAAACCACGCACACCAAAGATGAGCGTCCTGTACTACAGAGCTCTACTTCTAAACAGACAAGACAGGTGAACGATGAGGCAAGGAAACAAAAATACAGAGCAGTGAACTGACCAGCTCAAAACCACACAAAAGAAATAATAATCAGAAATTGCAATGATTCCCCCTTTCTCTTCAACTCTCCTTCTCATATTGCTAATAATGCCTGCAATAGCCTATAAAATCAAGGATGTAGTCCTCAATCAAAGAGCTTGCAATAAAAGCAGGTAAACAGATAAAAACATGCTGCAGGACAGAAATGGATTAGGCAGAAAACGAAACACTCTTCTTCTGAAAACACTGTTCTCCTGAAACAGGGAAAGGAACATTCCGTTTTCAAAAACCAGCACAGCCCAAGGATTAGCAAATGAAGAGTGTAACTGTAGAAATACCTAGAGGATTCCTACGGCAAATTCCAAAGGCAGAAGATTTTGCAGGGAGATAGCACAGAAGGGAGAGAGATCTGTGCGGAACAGACATCCTGGAAAGTAGCATCTGCCTTAAATCTCACACAAGACAGTATTTTTGTACAGAAGAGAAAATATTTGTTTTAGATACTCAATAAGGAAATTGAATGACAGCATGGTACAAAATTAAACTGCCTTTGCATATATCAAATTTGATTCAACTGGCCCTTATTATAATTTACACTTAAGGACAAAGAATAAACTGGTCTCTCCTCAAACTGACTTTCAGAGGCAGTGGAGAATGAAGCACTGTATTTCTTTGTGAAATTCAGGCTTTAGAAGTCACATCAGCAAAAGCAAGTGTATAGTATTTAAACAAAATTTACTAGCAGTGAACAAGGAAAACATTTCATCTTTTTTCCTAATGTAAATACTTGTTTTGGTTTGCTAGACACAGTACTTGACAAAGACCTTTGGTTCATGTTACAACCAACAGCAGCTCCTCAAGGAAAGAAGTTTTGAACACTTTTATTTTCAGATGTTTTTAAACATCTGCTTGAGCAGTTTAGTTACAGGTATCTTAAATCACTGCCTATGACCACTTCAATATGACAAGACATTTTTCAAGAAAGATGCTAATATTTGGGGAACCTCACTAAAAAAGGAAAGATCTCCTCCTCAGAGGATATTAAAATCAGAGCCTACAAAAAAAAACTATACTCCTGTATAAAACTGTACTAATAAGAATAAAATAATTTTATAGAGATCATAAAGAAATATATAAACTTTTGACTTGGAGTAACAGAAACAGGATACATACAGCAGTACAAAACAAATTTGTAAGAAAAAAATGGTGCTTGCAAGGAAAGCATGATCAACTGTTAATTCAGCAGTTGGCAATGGCAAAGGAGCAGAAAGATCTAGTTGTAGTGGGAAATCACAGGGCACCCATGGCAGACAGCATGATGCAGTCATGTGAAAGGCAAATGTGGTTTAGGGATGTATCAAGAGTTATTTCCAATACACTAAGGAAGCATTAGTGACATCATGCACAGCCTTAATCTTCCTTGAACATAGAGCCTAGGCAAACTCAGGCTGGAATGGATGAAGAGAAGTGCTGGTGGAGCACTGAAGGTCCAGTCACACAAGGACGCTTTATGTGATTCAGAAAAGATGTCATGGATTCAGAAGGAAGAAAAGCTACTTAGCTGAAGGCAATACTTAAGTAAGTTGGGAGGAAATTAGCATAAACTGGTCGCAAACAGAGGCTTCAAGTTAGAGCAGGCTCCTAGCTGCTGGAGTAGTTTTCCAGAGTAGTACTCTTCAAAGAAGAGTAAGAAAAAGCAGATTTTTCAGGTTTTGTTAAGGAACCTGACAACCTCTCCTCCATAGAAAGGACATTTCTGTTCTAGCCTTGCATGTGAGGTCTTTCATGTGGAGTACATGTTGTACGTTCCTGCATCTATAACTGTGAGAACACCCAGCATGTATCCTGCATCTCTAAATTGCAATCCAGGGCTAGATATTACAGGAAAATCTCAAATTTCTTAAAGCTAACATTAGAAGAAATACAACAACCCTGATGAAGCGGAAGAAACACACAGGATTAAATTCAATACTTAATTGTTTTCTACACACAGAGAAAATATCACAGAACAGGAAAAAAGACCTCATCTTCCTTTGTAATACATGATAAACTAGATTCCCTGCCTTGTACTCCTTTCTTTGCCGATCGGACAGATTAACAGTAATTTTCTTTATGAAGTTCAAACTCAGCTGTTACCAACTCTATTTTGTTGTAGCTGGACTCCGACAACTGTCTTAACTGTACCCTCTGTTTTTGACTCGGACTCTCCTGAACAAAACACTGGGAACTGTAGAAAGAGAGGCATATTTTTAATGGATTCATGATTTGAACCCTTATGGTCCACTGTTTGATACACAGAGAAGCAGTAAGCATAGCTGTATTCTTACGCAGCCAATGAATCTTGATGATGCTAAATGCAGACCAATCCCAGCAAACGAAGATGTCAAATCTACAATCCTTAAGAAAATGTAAAGCCATCTTGGACAGTACAGCCGTCAGCTCTACCTATCCATTTTTTGTTTTGCTCTCCTATGGTACCAAGAACTATGATGGTTCAGTACACTTAGGCCCTCTCAGTGAATACTGCAACTATTCAACACTGTCTTATCAACAGACAAAACTATCAGCCTCAAAAGGGGTGCTATATGCCGTAGCAGGGACAGGTCTTCGGAATATTTTTTCATTAAAATATCAGGCAATTGCTTGTTTACAGGGAAAAAGACAAAAAGAAAACAAGACCAAAAAAAGAAAACCTGATGTGTAAAAAAAAAAAAAAAAAATCTAAGTAGAGACAGTAATAAAGCAAAATACAACAGGAAGACATCACAGAAATATCTACTCCAACAGAGATGGCTCTGGTACTCTTATTAAAAGTTAAGATTCAGCAGGTTTAAATCTTCTGCAGAGGTTTAATACATTTATCATGCATATACACAAATAATTTTTCAGAACGTCATTTGGAATGAGTGGCACTGGCGTGACTAACTTCTCTAAAAACAGCTTTCAAATGATCTATTTGAAATGTTGTCAGTCTCACCACCTACTCTTTTACAGGTGCTTAGCCAAAGGTTAGCAAGCACAATATTTCTACTCATTAGCTGGGAAACTACTGCACATAAACAATCTTGAGGGATGGTTTTACTCTCTAGTACATACCATTGATCCAGTTCCTCTGTAAAAATAAAAGGTCTTAATAATTTTTGCCATATTAAGAATTACTACATTCTCCCATACTTAGAAAAGGAGTAAAAAACCTTGCACAATATATTTAAAACAGCACACACAGAGCAAGTCGAACTTAGATAGCAAGGTTAAAAGAAAAAATAAATGTATTTATGACATTGCAAAAGTAATAGAACACAAACCTCCATTCCAAAATCAATCACATCAAAATAAAATAAAAAAATATTACAACTATAGATCCTTAATTTCTATCCAACATTTTCTTTATAAAAGCCTGTTTAAAATATTAAACTTTTGATTCACTCTAGCTTAAACAGATTCTAAAACTATTTGTTTTACTGATCACTTAGTCTTTGTCTTAAGTTTCTAGATTTTCCATTTTCAAATTTCCTCTTTTTAAATGTTGGCACCCCTTCTGTCATGTCTCCAAGGGAGGTGACTGTCTTCTCTTTGAATATCACTGTCTCATCTTCTGGAACCTCTATCACTGGAGGTGGGACACTGTCACTCTCTGTAGTAGGAAGCTCCAGGTCCACTTTTTCACTGGGAGAAGAGAGGAAAACATAAAATCTACATAGAGAAAACAACATGGTGTACTGCAGACAGTAACATCCATATTTAATTGTCACAGCAGCTTTAAGCTAGATGCAGTCTTCTAGCCAAGATCATTATTATGACAGGGATCAAGAAAAAAAACATGTTGTTCCTTCTGTATGGGCTGCCATAAAAAGTAAAAAACTAAGACCCCATTCTGTACAGAGCTTATAGCATGGCCTAAGCTCTCATCATATAAATAGTCCTGTAAAAGACAACAGGGCTGTGTGGATTTAGATTTAAGATTGTTGAAAGACAGTAGTCAGTGAGTAATTAGCAGTGGTTGACTGCCAAAATGCTATTGAGCAGTCTTCCGCAGGTGTTCATTCTTGAGGGTCTGAGTGACAGAACAGAGAACAGGCATACCAAGTCAGCCAGTGACCCCAAGTTGGGAGGAGCTGTTTTGGAGAACAGGATCACAACTAATACTGATCTGAACAAATCAAACACATCGTCTAAAAATTACAAATTGGTTTCAGGAGGCCAACAGCAAAACAGTGTTCTACAAGAAAATGGCCCAAACATACAGCGGAGAACGACAAAACAGCTTGCAGAAAATTATCTAAATCACAAGTCCATCAGGAATCACAAAAGCATAACACTACTGCAAAGAGATACACACTGTATTCCTGGCCAATCCATACAAGAAATCTTTCAGTACTACTGTTAGTCTGATGTCAGCTTGTGTACAATAGCTAGTTTCAGGTCCTATGCTTCAAGGAAGACGTGGATCACCTCAAACACCCAAACAAGAGCCATGAGAATGACTGCAAGTCAAACAAGTAAAGAAAATGCGACTGTTGCAGTATCCTAAAAAATGTAAACCTCCTGAAAGCGGTTGGCACTGTGCCTAGTCTCAATGTCAAGTAAATAATGGATAACTACACTTGTCTCATTTACATGTGTGTATATATCAAACATGTGTGTTAATGTACAGACTGATATTTAAGGTTCAGTACCTGAAAGCACTTTTTATTGGACAGTGCTTTCTAAAAACCTGAAAAAATTTAACTGCTCTGGAGTTAAGGAGACTGTTTTCATTCTCCAAAACATAATTTCTCCAGACTCCTAGAGGGCCCCACAACAAGAAATCAGCCATAGAAGACAACATGCTTCACAAAAAAATGAGCCATCTCAGGCATGATGTAGTAAAACAAAACAAAAAATCCCCTCCTGATCAGATGCATGTCATGAAAACATCTGCAGTATATCGGCTGGACATGGGAGAGAGAGCAGCTACCAGACTTAAAATTGGCATAACTAGATTACACGTTTTGTCTTTCATCTCCTTATTTAAATCATTACAGAAAGTGTCTCCCACCACATTATAAGAGCCTCCAGGACTCACCCATAGTGAGAGGAGGAAAGGCTGTAGCAGATTTTATTTTGTTTTTTCTTAAATTTGTATTGAATTGAGGGAAGTTAGGGATCAAGAAAAACTGTTCAACCAGAAGGCTTTTACTTCCAATACTGGGTGAAAGTAAGACAAAAAATTTCAAGTGTCTTTTAGACTGTGTCCTTCAAGCAAACAGTTAGAGTCAGTACAACAACACAAAGTGAGAAATAATTCACTGCTTGTGGAAGTAACTCAGCCAAACATACCACGCTTAGGTAGAAATTGCTTGGAGTCTAAAAAAGTGTACCCATTATGTCAGCAACTATTGACCCACAGGGAAGGAATTCAAAGCCATGCTAACCCAGTATGATCACAGTCAAGTTGCTGCTGGCCCTAGGAGATCAAGATAGATCTTGAACTCCAGGCAGAGTTAGCCCAACTAATTACTCCTCAGAAAGAAACAATTTAGCCTGGAACCTGGAGGCCCTGAGAAAGCTGCCTACGCTGTTCCAAGGCTGGAAGCAGTTGAAAAACAGTCACAAGAGCTCCCGAAGCAGCTGAACCTGACTGCTGAAGGAGACAATGTTAAGGAACATAAGCTTAGATTAACTACATTTAAATAGTTGATACTCAGCCTCTGAGAAAAATGATAGATGACAACGATCCTTTAAATCACTTTAATTTACTCTGTACTCATAGTGAACTTCTACACTAAAAACAAAACACCACCGCTATGTGCGATCAAGAACTATTACTTAAACTAATCACTGTGGAAAGAACTGTATTTGGGCTACAAGTCCAATCACTGCTGTGGTAATTCTGCCAGAATGCAGAAGAAAAAGCTTCAGCTCTTGAAAACAAGTATTCTGGAAACAGATATTATGAAAATAACTATGGTAAAAAGATCCTCACCCTGGTTCTTCTTCTTCTTCTTGTTCTACTTCTTTAAGTGCTTTCCATTTTCCGTAAGGGTTGGTCTTGTTAGGTTCATCACTAGAGGCTTCTTGGGAAGCTGATGTGCTCTCCTCTTTCTCAACAGTTTCTTCTGCCTTAACTTCTCGCCATTTCCCATAAGGACTTAACTTTTTCCCTTTTGGAGATTTTTTCCCTTGCTCTGATTCTTCGCCATTATCTCTTTTCCTCTAAAGAGGGAAAAAACCATCTTAAGCAAAAATGAGTAAATAAAAACACAAAGTAGCTTTATTTTACATCTTTTATTTACTAATATCTACTATTCATACTTTTCAACCGAGTAACTTGAAACAATAAACTCATATTGTAATAAAATCTTTACATTTTTCTTCTTGAGCTTTCATCACATACAGAGTTGAAAAAAAAATCTTAAATGCTACAGAAAGTTAAAGTTGGAAAATCCCATCTACCAAGGCTGAAGTTAGAAAGGAGTAGCCCATGCAAACGTGAAGACAAAGCTCAGCATGTTTAAAAAAAAAAACAAAATGAGAGGCCAAAATTCACATACAGGATTCTGTGCATGCACATACACACACTTCACAGGTAATACCTGGTAGTTTATAATGATGCACAGTGACACAAACCCATGTATTTTAGACTTAACACCTGTCTATGAATGCATTTTATATTTAAACTGGCTCTGCCTGTTCTGAACTACCAGTTTCAGAAAAAACAGCTGACTCAACCAGAGCCATAATCACACTCTTTAAGTTTTAAATCTGAAGACAAAAATATATAATTGATACAGATTTTGCACTACGTGCTGCCAATGTTTTTCTGAATTAATAAGGGAACTACAACAATGTCATTTTCAGTCAAAAGCACTCCCTGGAAGTCTCTTGGCAGTCACATTTGCCAATGAAGCTTATAAGTCATCCTCACACTGAAATCCAAACCATTTTGTGGATTATTTCAGAGACATGACAGTGACCTTTCTCAGAGAACATTACATTTCTTGCAGAATTCAGTCTACTTCTGATGGGCTGAAGGAAAGATCATGCTTTGTATTCTGGAACAGTGGCACTCATGGACCAAATAATTGAATAAAGATTAATTTTACTATTAAAACAAGTGTAAACTTCTACTTTCAGTCATATGGTTTAACCTCATTACAATGACTACAGCCTATCCCAAGAGAAAAATGATAAATCATCTTATGCTAGAAAATTAATACTGTATGTAAAATAAATCTGAAGAGAAAACTTACCTTGAAATTTGTTTCTGAACTCTGTGCTTCATTTTCACTATCTTCTGAGTCTGATTCAGATGCTTTGGAATCTGTTTCTTCAGAATGCTTGTCACGTTGACTCTTCTCATTTGAAGATGAAACAAAACCCTTTGGTTTCTCCCATGTGGATACTGTCCAAGATATTTGAACAACCACGTTATTTATGTTTCTAATTCTGATCTGTTCTTGTTTTGACAACATTACCTTTCAGAAGCAGTGCTGCCTTATGCAAAAATACAGCAAATAATTTAGCACACTGCTTTTGCCTTTGTTCAGTATGTTTGTTTTAATAAACATGATCAGAAAGACAACATTTCACTTCTCAGCAGAAAGACAGTCATGACAGCCGAGCTCACTGTTGATAAAGCTTGTTTTAACTACTGCTTAAGAAAAATATCACCCACAGCAAACTGCAGTCCACAAGACTGTGGTCCCTCTCATCCTTACACAGGACAGAGAAATTGCCCTCTAGAGGTGCCTGTTTGATTTCAGTTGTCCAATGATTACTAAGACAGGATAAGGTAAAGAAGGCTAACTGCCAGACTCAACTCTCTAGGCAGATAAACCCCTTCCCTGTACTATGCTGCTCGGTAACATTAGGTCTCTAATTAAAGAGCTGTCAAGCAAACAAGGAGATACAAACATCAATCTGAAAAGACATGAAAGTATGTACAGGATATAACCTCACTTTCAATTAAAAGGCAATACTCCAGCAAATGTACTGAGAGGAAATACTGAAATGAAAGTTGACTCAATACTCTTAAAACTGGTTTTAGTAACAATAAGGCAGAAGGACATCAATTTTCAATCTATAATTTTATATAAGCTTACAAATGTAATAAAACTACTATTTTTCCAATTATTTTATCTATTTCCAAAGAAATCCCTAACTGACAACACTCTACAGATATGCCCCTAGATGTATCTTGAAGAAGTAAAGGTGTAAGAAAGTGACAATGAGTGACTTTGCATGAACAGAACAGTCTCTTAAGGGTACTGCTGTCATGTAGCTTTTAGTAACTGAGGAAGTTCACTTTCCCAGGTGCCACGTACAGCCAGTGGAGTAAGGTGCAGCCATCCAAAGCATGACTCATAGCACTAAGCCTAGAGATACTGGTCTCCTAAGTTATATGCCCAAGATGAGACACTACAACCATTTCCCTCAGTTAAAAATTTGTCTTGTCTCCAGAGGATGGGATTAATGTTAACAGAACTGACAAGTAAATTTCCAGCATTTCCAAGACACAGCTATATAAAAGTAAGGGATCACTTGAAACTCTCACAAGCCAAAATTTTATCAAATACAATGATTACAAAGACATTATTCATGAGTGTCATGTGACCATGAAGAATTTTAAAAACCAACACAACCAAAGGCATAAAACGTATCTGCACTTAGAAGGCAATGTTTAAAAATAACTAGCATCTCCTTTCCCTTTCAAAAGGAGAAATCACAAATCATTTGGGCAGGGGAGTGGCATGTTTAAAAACGGAAAGGTTTGGGTTATTTTTTTTTCTATTCTTGGCATTGTTAGGAACACAACTTCATACCCAACAGTGGAAGAAAAACTCATAGCCAGCATAAAATCACTTGCTCTCCAGAGAGGCATCGTTGACTTGATTCAAAGAGATTTAGAAAACAGATGCCTGTTCTGAGGGAGCTACCACATTTTTTGGGAAAAAGACAGGGAAAAGAAGTAGGAGGCAAGATTCTGGACTCTCTTATCAATGCTATGTCAGCAAGAGGAAAAGTTTAGGAGATCCTTATTCAGTCCTACATACCTGTCAAAACAAAATTCTTCTCCTTTCTGGTTTCCAAACTATAATTTCAATATATATGTAGAACAGAAGAACCCATATTTTAGAGTTCGAAGTCAAAAGTCTAAAAAACCCATGAAGCACAAATGTATATACACAGACAACACAGCTATAAAGCCAGCACTGACTTAAGCAACAAGTGTATTTCTACTAAGGTAATAGCTTAAAACGTATAAAACTTAGTAATGGCCTTAAAATGCAGTTATTTGCAGAATAAAATGCTGCTCTGAAAACCCTCTCTCCTGAAACAGAGCTTAGCTAGAAAACAAGTTCTCCTTACCTCCTGTTTGTGTGTTATAGTAATAGGTATGACCATCTTCAGTGACACCTTCTACCCACTCTGCTGCCTGAGAAAAAGATACAGAAGCTAACTAAAAAAGAGAGTTTTAAGGATGAGTTAATGCATCACTTATAAGACTATTTAACCTTTGATTATTTTTTTGTTCATTACAATTTTACTGTTTTAAAGCTCGAACCCCTAAAGTTGTTAGAAAGTATTCCCTCTGACTCAAATGAGACTGAATTGCTTAACTTCAAGTATGGCAAATGCACACAGGCAATTTTTTCAAATCGTGGATAATTAGTATGAGGTAGTATAGTAAACGTCGCCATGCAGTTCAAATTATGATAAAGACCATAAAGGCCATTATTTTCCATGTTTTTTATTTTCCAGTGTATTCACACCTGAAGTTGACATTTCCTGGTTTTGTCATTGTCTTAAGTAGACACCAAGAAAAAATTTCTCTGGAAGACTTGGGATTTTGCGAGGGCTATAGAAATCCAATATCAGCAAATACTATCACACTTAAACAGAAGTAAACAAAATAAAAACTTCTAAAATTTATCCCAAAAGAGATCTTCACCAAAAATACTGAACAAGCAAACTTTGCACGAACGCATGCCATGAATTTACTTATTTAGTAAAGCACCAATTTCAACAAAGAACTGTTTTTCCTAACTAATTAATAAATAAAATATATATCTGAAATGGGGCAGAATTTGCTGGTCTTTGTAGATGTGCAATTAAAATAAAGATGTTTTCCAGAATCAGCCAAAGCTAGATAATCAGGCAATACACAACATCTTCCTTAAGAACCTGATTTTCATCAACACTTACACATACAACTACTTTACTGCTCCTTAAGCACTAATACTGCCTCCTCCCCGGCAGAATATCTGTGCAGCTTCACCATATATTATTTTTGCATTAATAAGTGTCTATGTATGCGTGTATACAGATACATACACATATAAGTAAGCTTTTCCACACACATACCTATATATTTGTTTAATACTCTATTAGAATTTTGTTGTTTTTTAAAAAAACATAACAAAATCAGAAGCTAAAGTTCTTGCACCCGCTCTGTAAACAGAAAAAATTGTACCATTAGGTTCAGAGCAGGCAAAGGCAAGAAAGCCTTCAGTAAGCAAGTTTCTTCAAGGTTTTGCTCTCAGAAGTCTCAGTGTGCTAGTTGCAACAAAAGCAAAAGGAAATATTATTTTATGTAAGTAGAAAGAGGAGAAAAAAACTAGTCTTAAGTACAATATATCCTTTCTGTTAGAGATAGATGCTGAACATTTTAGACATGGTTCTTAGCATTTTAGAGCAAATATTTGACACTAGGCACAGTGAGTATCCTACTACATAAATGCTAACAAGCATGATGTCAATCTAACTGAAGTTACAGGTAGTATTCAACGTGCCTTTTCATTACTCTGTTCTCACCACCTCCTTCAACCTCTTACACCTCTGAGCAGCTAGCTAACGTGCTGTAAAACAAGGAGGGCCTGTGAATCTCACTTGCACTACATATTGCAAGTATTCCCTTTTATTTCTGGGCAGCAAGTCCTTGTTAGAAATCTGGAACGTTCCCAATATCTTTAGCTCAGACTAAATAAGAGAGCAATCAAATACTTGTTTTTAGCAACAACAAAAATAACTCAAGACACCACAAAGTCACTGAGCAGGGTGAGCGAGGAATGGCAAAATACAGCCATGTGGCATTAGAGAGATATCTGAGGCTGCAGGTGTACATTTATGATACAGCCGAGATGAGCTAACCTCAAATTGTTGCCAAGAAGGGAGCTCCTTCCCCCCTCTATCTGCTCTCCCTGCAGCGGCATTTCTCTGATTACCCAGAGAGCAGATGCAAGGAAATAAGCCAACAAAACGCTAACCTGAACTCTGATGTCTTCACTCCCTGAACTAGTTCACTGTCAGGGCAAATACGCACCAAGGACAATAAGAGATTAATCACAAGCCAGTCTCTTTCAGTGGAAGGCTACGGTAATACTGGCCTATAACTATTGCAAAGCTACACCTTGACTGACAAGATAAAGTTGAAGTGCTGGTTAACAAGTTGTGCAAAAACGCAGGATGAAGGAATCAGAAAGCCAAAGTAGCATTTGATGGGCAGCTAAGACACAAAGTATGCAGTCTCTTCGGAATGAACACTGGATGGAAAAAGCCTGCACTTTTGAAATAAAACACCACCTTACCAAGAGATGGAATACAGACAAGGCTTCATGTATATTCTGTGATTTGATTAAATTGACTAAAAATATACACAATTACTACCATTTTCTCCTCTGATCATAAGTAACCCAGTACCAAGCATAGGCTATCTTCTGAGATGCAACAATATAGAGCTATAGAATGTCAAGCACTCTGAAAAAGCCAGGCTTTTTTGATCTCTAGCATAAAATACAACATTAGCAAACACTGACTTTAAATCATACTGTGCCTATGACACCTATCTTGAAAATGGGGAAACATAACATCACTTCACAGAAGTATTGTAAAAATTCTATTTTTAATAATGTTAAGCACAAAGATCCTGTAGTGGTAAGTATCAGCGGAAAGCCCATTAGTAATAGTAAGAAGAAATCTTTCTGTCTTTGGACTATTTTTTCTGTGCCTCAAAAAAGGAGAACAAAGTAGTACGTTAAAAGGTTGTTTGCATGTAGGTTCCATGACCATAAGAAACCCATGAAAAAGACAAATTATCACATAACTGTATCCTAAAGCAAAGACAAAAAACAGGTACTCTTTTTTTTTTTTTTTTACTATCTGATGATGCAATCTCAGTGTTTCCTAAGATAAATGAGTCTTAACTATTTGAAATGTGTAAGACTTAATTTTTTAAACCACATTTCATTCACAAAAGGTTGAACAGAATTTATTCAGAATTCCCAAAAGCTTTCAGTTTTATGGGCTGAAGCATCAAAAAGCATATTCTGCAAAAACACAGCCACCACTGTCACTTCTCTTTTGTTGATAAACAAATTAGCCAAAAAAGATTTGTATAGTAAAATTTCCATTTTCATCAAGTATATCATAAAACATTCTATATATTCAACTTATGTTTTCCTATGTTTACTAAGAGCAAACAATTTCTCTTTTGCAATCAGAAGACTTGCAAATGCTTAGCTTATTTCTGGTAAGTGTTTACAAGGACAAAGAAAAGTATGAATAACAGTATTTTATTACCGTTTGTGAGTTCTGAGAGTTGCCTTGGAATCCTTTAGGTTTCTCCCACTGTGATTCTTAAAAAACAAGAACACATTTCACCCATCATTCAATCCTGTTCATATTTAATAATATTGAGAAAAAACAGATCTAAAGGGTATGATGCTGATGTGTGCGCACATACAAACAAGTAACATAGGTGCACCTCACTGGAATATAAATCATCCTTGATCAAACTACGGTATGAACAAAAAACCGAAGCATCATAATTATAGTTGGCTTTACCGGGACTAACCACCTTCCAGACTTATATGGCTGATAACACAGATACTGGAATTTTGATACAAAAAAAGGTCATTTTTTTAAAATGGTAGCACAGGCCACAAGAAACTAAACACACAAGACTTTTACCTCTTGCAAGTTATCTTGCATGAGGAAAAACTAAAGTAAATACTAATGTCAATCCTTAAATTTATAAGAAACAGTTTGTACTATTCTCATTAATCATAGAAGAGGGTTGCTTTTATGCTCTAAAGTAGATCATAACACATATCTCCTCAACAGAAGTCAGTCAGATAAATCCTGTAAATGCAGAAAGAAACAATCAGACAATAATGCATAACTGCTCTCATTTATGTGGGAACAATCAATCTTTTTCACATTCCTGATAAGAAAGCTTCTTTAGGAAGAACACAGCTATCTTTTGCACACTTAACCTCTGAAACGCTAAACATTCCAAAAACTGTGGAATTACTGCATTCTCCCATTATTAACAAAGAGCAAAACCAGTATGAAGTTCTGGATGCCTAAGTCTTGAATGTTAAACGATCAAAACTCCAGCTCACATTTTAATGATCAGTTTACTACTGAAAGAGGAGTAAAGAAATGCAGGTAGTCTTTTCTCATTTATACACAATATATCTGCATTTGCTCCTCACTAGTTTTTACCTCCTGTTCTTGTGTTGTAGTAATACGTATAGCCTTCAGGAGAAAGTCCTTGCACCCACTCCTTCATTTCAGTTTTTGGTGGCACTGAGGTGTCCTGAGATGTCTTTTTTTTCTTTTCTTTTTTTTCCTTCTTTTCCTTCTTTTCTTTCTTTTCTTTCTTTTCCTTAGTTTCCACTGTGTTGCTCTGTATTTTGCTCTGTGTTGAACTGGGACCTACATCATCTTAAAGAAAATAGCACTACCTTTAAAAAAAAGAGTAATGACCTGAGCTTAAATATTAGCCACTCTTATGCAACAGCAAATAGGAATTATTTCTTATGAGGATTTTCACTCATCAGTATTACACTCATAGCAGGCAAATTTACAAGAAGGTATTCAAAATCTTGTATCATAGCAATATGTTATATGAAAGTCCAAATATCATGAGTAACATAAAAATTGTAAGGACCAATGAGCTCTAACTAAACAACAAAAAAGAAACTAAAAGAGTTTCTACAGGAGCTTGAAACTACAAACTTTATTTTTAAAGAATAATATGTCTTCACATGGACAGAACAAAGGCACTTGCTGAACTGAAAGTTGAGTAGGAGAGTCTCATCTCCACTGTTTGACACCAGTTGGAATCCAGCTTCTCCTACTCAATAGGAACTTTTGTCTCTAACAGGCAAAAGTGAAACATAAACTAAGGGAAGCTGCGCTGCTGATTCAAAGCACCAACTACAGCCTGTTTTTTGTTATCACATTAATTTTTTTACTTGAAACTGGATTGTTCAATGGACCACAGGACTGGCAATTTGCAGACTCCTTTTTTTTTTTTTTTCTTCAAATGAGCAAACAGTCCTGGAGGCCTCCTCTCATGTTCTTAAAACCTAATTTAAGAAAAAACATTCCTATTCAATATTCCTATTCCAGTTCTGTTTTTAATCCTTTGGCAGCTCTATGAACTACCTGGCTTAATTCCAAGCCTTTTCAAATCCTCCTGATATGCTTTCATTGCAGCCTCCTCCATTGCTGCAAATTCTTTTGACATGTTTTCTTCTTCTTTTGCCTTTTCCAAGCTTTTCTTCTTAATCTAAAACAAAACAAAAAACCCCAAGAGAATAAACAAGTCTGATAACAAAAGATATTAAAAATAAGTATTCATGCAAATAAGATATTTGAGTTACCTCACTAATTCTTTTTGCCACATTTTCTTTATGATTCTTTCCTCTTTCATGAAACTCAATGCTCTTAGAAGCAAGAAAAAAAACAAGAAAAATAGTATGTATCATACAATTTTAATTTACTTAATTTTATTTAGTTAGACTAAACTTAGTTGAACAAGCTTAAATGTAACCTGTCCTGAAAACACAACAAACACTGTAGCTATAAAATAGCTATAGGAATTCATGAACACCAAGAAACACTCAACGTAGAAACTGACTCCTAAAATAAAAATCAGTAACACTCAGTAACACTCCAAAAAGGTATCACAAAATTTCATAGTCTCTGTTTGTAAGATTTAATTTTTTTCAGCACAGATATTAGAGACAAATAAGAGGGAATCTGGGCTCCCTCTCTATGTTATCCTTCCAAGTATCATCCCTTGATTTTTTTTTTTACCCTGTTTTCATGCAAACTTTTAAAAACCATATGGCTTATTTAGAGTTCCAAATATTTGTTAGTCCTTAATTAGATTATGCTATGCTCCACAAATATCCCACTTAAACTAGTCTGCAGGTCCACAAATCTTAGAGAGAGGAGAAAAGGCAAGGTGGGAGAGCTGGGTAACTAAGGACCACAGAACAGTCTGCAAGCCAAAAAGCTGCCAGAAAGACTGAAGCCAGTAGGAACTGGAAGGAGTTCAGAAGCTCTGCAGGTACAACAACAGTGGAAGTCCTCATGTGGTTCTCATCAAAAACATCTGAGCTCATTTGGGTGTTCAAGTGTTAGGTGCCTAAGCCTGACCTAGTAACCCTAAAATTTCTTTGCATGCACCAATGTGCACAGGATTCACATCCAGGGGATGTTTCATCTTCCTTAAACAGAGACTTTAGAAGTTACCCAAATCTCCCCTTTTAACGCCTATTTCTCTTCACTGACTACAAGAAGAAACCTAAACAAATTAGCTTGCACTTGTCACTCTGCACAGCAGGTATCTAACTCTAAGACAGATGAAGCTCAGCTCCAGGAGTACCCAGGCACCCAGTCAGGAATGCAAAACTTCTAAGTAAAAAACCAATGGGTACAGTAGTCTGCAAAAGACATCTTCAAGTCAGAAACACCTTTCCGTAACCCAGTAACATTTCTGTGGGCCCTGTGAAATGAAAGAAACCTGCTTTAAATGCTTAGAGCGCTGGCTGTACCAGGCCTACCATAGATAAACAGTAGGTATGCCAGGCTTTGCTTCCTAGTTGCATACAAAAGCTAGAAACAGGCACAAAGTTTCAAGACAGATCAAATGTTAAGTTACAGAGCCTGTTACAGAAAAAGCAGGGTCAGATATTTCAGTTCTTATCTGTACTGCTAAGTAGAACAGTACACACCATCTTACATGCAGGTATCTGGCTCTCACGTAATATATTTTAAATATCACAGGTATTACACAGGCATTTTTAAACAAAAAAAAAATCATACATCAACAAATTAGTATCAGAAGTGATGTTAAAAGCCTGTAATTCAAATTACTATTTCGGAATCATTGACATAGTATGGTAGACCATCGTACAGGTCTGTTGTCTGCTATCCAGCACTTGCAGTAATCGCAGAATTTTTTTGGCTGAGATTTCCAGTAATCGGCCCTGGGGAGAGAAAAAAAAAAGCATAATCTGAAACAATAAGCAAAGCCCCAGGTTTTTAAATTCAAAAACTAAATTGAGTCGTCTTTGGGTAATCAAGTGCTAAGAGTTGGTTTTTTGGGTTTTTTTTGTTTGTTTGTTTGTTTGTTTTGTTTTTTTTTAAATAAGGTATGGGGAGGTAGCAAGAGCAGCTATATTGACAACGGTGTGCCATAAAGCACAGTTCAGTATTGGGATTGTGCCCATCTGACCCCTGAAGTTTGCAAAATTTTTACAATGGAGGAGATGCTGTAAGAACCAGAAATACAAGACAGAGCAAGCCAGAGATAAACAAGGAACTCTGGATTCCCTAATTAAACACAGAACTGTCAGAAACATGCCACTTGCACTGTTTTTCATAAAAATGCATATAATAAATGTTTGTAAGTGTAAAACTCTAGATTTACTGTCAAAATCTACTTTGGATATTGTATTCAGTGATCTTTGTGCAACACAAAGGTGCAGTTCTGGACAACACGAGCTACTGTGGGGAATCCTACAACAGATTCTGACCTGTGGGGTCACAGACACAGCAGTAAATTGTTTGGCTGCTTCACTGTAAAAATGGGAGTATTTCTGAACTACACAATTTAGGTAAGTTGCATATGTGTGAAGAAACTTGGGGAAAACTCTTCAGAGCTCAGAAGTCAGTAAATAAAAGTATTTAACAATAAAACAAACAACCTTTCCAATGGCTGTTTCTTAATCAAAAACCACTCTCTAATGCCAGACGAGGCTTGTGCAGAAATAATTCAATTTCTTGTTGGCTTGCAGCAACAGATGCTGTGCTTTGGTTCAATAGAACACATTGCAGCAACAGACTTCTATGTTTTTAAGTTAAAACGAAAAAGAATGAGGGGTGAAAAGAAAAAAAAACAAAGATTACACTGAGAACATTAAGAAAGATCAATCCAAAAAATGAATCTTTGCATTCCATCTGAAGATTAATGTACAGAGTTCAAGGAAAATACTTCCTTACCTTTTTATTCAATAAAAACAAAACTTCTTCCATGCACAATAGCACCCTCAAACCTTATGATAGGTCTGACCAGACCTTTCGTAACAGAAACAGACCTGATTGACTCAACTGTTAAAATTTAAGCAGATATCAAAATACACTCTCCCACCAGTGCTTAATGTAAAAATACCATTTCTAAGAGGCAATGATTATTTAAAAGTATTATCCCTTGCAAAAATATATCCACCTGTAAGCAATACTGTGTTAGCAACGTGCAGCTTTTCAAGCAAGTTTCTGGAAAGCTAGAAAGAAGCAGCTGGGCTTCCCCCGATTTAAACAGAAATCCGCTCAACCCTAAATGGTGTACTTTAAAACTGGGTGATTACTTAGTCACACATTTAATTAAAAGGCTTTTGAGATTTATATATCAAAACGCACTAGGGCCAAAGACTGGAAAATTGAACACTCCATCTGGAAAACGAGCTGAGTGTGAAGGAGAAATTCAGAGCTCAGAAATACCTTGAGGCCCTTTTTCCTACTGGAGCTATAGCTTCTAAATTGTCCCTAAATCCTTTGACATCATCCGAGATAAATTTCCAGCTAAAAGCTGGGTTAACCTTCCTAAGGCAATGGACCAATTCTGACAGAAAACACATAAATTGTAAAAGAGCCTCACTGTATGTTTCCAAGGTGCAAGAACATCTGTCTGTTTCAAAGTTTAACCTAATGGAGCTGGCTGGCTCTTTCTCTTCAACAGATTCAAGTGTAAGCGCCTAAAATTAAGGCTGCCCAGCTGCATCCACCAAAAGTCAAGACCTGAGAGTGTGACAAGCTGTATTTTCACACCTATATTTTTCCACCGATTTCTTTCCTAAACACTACTGGATGTCACATCTGTTGCAAACCATTGTAGCTACACATAGAGCAATCATGCTGGAGAACCTGAGGGTGCACTTGGGGTTTAAATACAAATCCAGGTCTTGATGACAAGAGCCTTTTGTCTTCATCTCCTATTGGTTTTGATAAAGACTGGAGCTGGCGCTCTGTTGCTACATATAAAATAAATGTAAATTATACTCGGTGAAGAAGGGCTGATATCCTGGGAACCTTAAATCCTGCATTGCATGATTAAGTTAATTGTGGAAATTATCATCCCCATTCTGCAACTTACGAGCATGAGGAATGTTATATGCTAAGAAATTCTCTTAAAGTTTTCCAACTGAGTTCCTACCCCTCAAAAAAAAAAAAAAAAGAAAAGAAAAGAAAAGAGCAAGCTCAGAGAAATATCCACCAAATAACATCTGCCATTGTAACAAACATGGAGCCTGCAAAGCACCAACGGTGCTGCAATAAGAGTGAACCAAAGAGAAGTGTTTGGAAAGGAGCAGCAACTAGTGAGACCCCACCTCATAGAGATGCTACAAGTGTTTCACAGGCTCCGGTCACAAGCCTGAAAGGTAATCCAGATCAATTACAATGCTTAAGTATGTGACTATTTAATTAATCTGACAAATACAGACTTGATGGTAGATGCAGTTAAGTGGCACAGAGGTCTTTTATACTTGAATAGTTGTGTACAAATCAAGGGAAACACAGGTATTTTAAAACGTCATTGCAGTACAGCTTTTAAGACTCCTTATCTCCTGCCTGCACTTACAGCAGTAAAGTTAAGGTTGATTCCTGTTTTCAGCTTTACAGCTGGGTCAACCTGCTAAGGACCTGAAAGCTGACCAGCCAGCCATCAGCACAAGTATCTTTCCTCCTTTCACTAAAACAAAGACACAGTCCAGAGTGCATCAAGTCTGGTTTGTCCAGGTTTGCAGGGTTGAGGTTCAGCACTGTACACATTTACGCAGGTGTGGCTATCCAAACGGGAGCTTGGTGACATGGACCCTGAGAGTTATCTAAGTTTTACTGCAAACCTCCACCACTTGAGAAGGGTTCTAACAAAGCCCACTCAGAGCATGACTTCCCAGAGCTGGCTGAGCAAGTCAGCTTGGCAACCTGCTACTGGGCACACAGGGAACAGAGCAGCACCAATACAGATGGATACTGGGCAACTTCTGGACGAACTGCTGTAAACTTTCAGCCAGAGTTGGAAATCCTGTACTAACTTGCAAGAAATTTGAGTCTCATGAAGAAGAGTGATTTTCTTTCAACCTTTACTAGTCAAACCGCTCAGGGGCAGAATGCGCAACAGCTCAGAGAGCTAAAGGGGAAGAAGGGAAAAAGAGGGAGTGAACATCAAACTGTTTTCTTGAAACTTCAGTGAAATTACGAACTCTTGCTGACAACAGCTGTAGAATGCAAATAGCATCAATGTACAAAACCATTTTCAGATTTCTAAAATTAATTTAAACCTTCAGAGGGAGTGAAAAGTTGGGGAAGAACAAATAGCAACTCTGCATTAACAGCACCTGCCACACTCCCCATCTCAAAAGATACGAAAACTCTGAAACTCATAGATAAATTTCCCAAACTCAGGTATTTTTACTTTGCTAATTATTTTCTTGATCCATGAGAATCACACAGCCTATGCTTCAATGACCAAGTTACGCACTCCTACTCTATGTGAACCATGTTGTTTGGGAGCACACAAAGGGGACAGGTTCTGCTGACAGCGTTCAAAAAGCAACTCTGTAGTACTGGGGTCCAGGGTCCCAAACCATCAACCTGTGAGCTGCTTCTCCTCACAGCTTACAGTATTATTAATGTTTTAACAGCTGATGCAGTCAGCCTTCCTTATATAGGGAAGCTTAAGAAACCCTCATAAAGAAGCTATCTTCAGCTGAGACAGCTTTGACAAACTTTACTTTGAGATAGGACTAGAGGTTTTTGTTCCTACCACAGACTGCATGAAATTAAAAGGTGTGAGAAAAAAAAAAGTAAAAAAAGAAACAACTGTTTCAGGTGGTTCTGAACACAAGAACAAAAACAATTTGTCCATGTAAACAAAATCTGGAAGTATTTGCTTTGAATAGCTTTGTTCTAAAACACCAGACCTGAAATCTGGCAGGGGGGTTTGTATCAGGGATATATCTGTCTAAATTATAAGCCTGTAGCCTAAAAAACATCATACACATGCTCAGAAGTTGTCTTTGGTTTCAGTATCTACAAACTCTGAAGACTTTACACAAAGTTAATACTGTCCAGCTTTCTGCAGGTTTCAGCACTGAACAGCCTGTGCATGCATCATCTTCTTGAATACAGGTATGTGAAGGAATACACAGATTCAAGTTCCTGACTACGGAAGGAAATTAATTCAGATTAGTCTAAACCAGCCACTCAACAGAACAGTGTTCAGAAATACTAATAAATGCCATTTGGGAATACCCTATACTTCTAAAGAAAAATAATAGTTCTGTAATGGAAAGAAGTAGAAAGAACAGAAGAAAAAAAATCACATACATTTTACAACAGACCCTCCTCCACATGAGGAGCCATTCCAGAACAGCTATTTCTAATTCAAATATCCCAGTATTGGTAAGACCTAAGAATGCAATGCTAAAATCTGCAGGGAAGCCGAAAAGGAAGAGGTTTTCTTGTACCACGAACTAGGTTCCAGTGCCACAGCCCCAATGAACCATGCTCCCAAATAATTCACAGCAACTCCATTCATTCATAGTGCAGTATCCTACCCTAATAACTCTTCTTAGATACATATTTTTTATTTTTTAAAAAACAGTATTTAAAAATAAAGACTCAAGAAATCAGCATCCCTGACACACTGACTACACAGAGCTGTTGTCCCTCTACCTAACCTCAGCTTGTTGGCCTTCTAACGTATCACAGAACATATGTCTATACGTGGGCTCCTACAGAGTAGTACTGGATGGTAGTTTCATCCACATGAAATAAGGCAGTTCTGTGAAGGATTTAGTTCTTCTAGCCATCAAGTTAATTATATTTTTGGGAATCCTTCTGTAAATTGTAATTTACAATCCAAGTGGCTGCTTCTTTCTACTACTATATTAGCCCCTTCTGAACAACATACAAATTGTAATGTCCCCCAAGACAATCTGAGCAGAGTCTGCAGAAGCTGCTCAGTATGACCGGTATTGGTGCTAGAGCTCATTTGCACGGATTTACCTTGACAGATCTCTTTTCTAAATTGTGAATCATGTAAATTGAAAGGTAATGCTACAGATATTTTTAACAATATACAAGAATGCACAAGAATATCAGGGCAGGCAGACTTCTGCATGTATAGAACTTCAACAGAGCTGATCTCCCCTAACTTCAGCTATCTAAAAAGTGAGATATTGAGTTGTATAAGTTCTCCACGTCAATAGAGGGAGACTGCCATCTCCAAATTCTTTCCATCCTAAATAGGCATTTGAGAAGCAAACTGAACTTGTAGGTGTGTTTCTACCTTATACAGGGAACCTAAAGCGAACTGCCTGAGTCAGCCTTCATAAGTTAAATATCTGAAGTCAGGGATATCTACTGAGAGCAGAGGTCTTCTGCTGTAGATACAGAAGGAAGATATGGGCTATGTCAGGAACACTATGATAAGAATTAGGAGAGGAAAAAAACAGCAACATAAATTGGGTCAAGAAACTGTTCAGGTATAATTTTAGCAGTAACTAAAATTAAGAACACTGCTGTAAGTAGTATCAGTCTGCAAGACAGGCTGACACAATGTAACCACCAAATGCTTCCCCAAAAAAGATCTCTAAAGAAGTTTTTCATCAGGTTCAGATTTTATTTTTTTTTCCAGCAGGGAAGTTATGATATCTTGAGAAGTAACTGAAACTAAAAAATACCATTCACATGGAATTCTCATTTTATAAAGACCAAAGCTTGGATTTTTAACATCACTCCCCTCCACAATGTGGTCAGGTATTACCACAAAATTTTTAATTAAGCACTTAGAAAAGGTAGCGATGTCCAACAAAACTAAGGCACAGAGGTTTTTTTCCACACGCTTTGCCCAGGACCAGAGGCGGCTGTGGTCTGAGGGGGCAGGGGGCCGGGGGCCATCCGCCCTCCCCCGCAGCGCTCACCGCTC